GGGGGAGCGCGGCCCCGGGCCGGGGCCGGCTCCAACCCCGCTTCCCCGCTCTGCCCAGCACCACCTACGGCAACGTCCTGGTCCTGGACGGGGTGATCCAGTGCACGGAGCGGGACGAGTTCTCCTACCAGGAAATGATCGCCAACCTGCCCCTCTGCAGCCACCCCGACCCCCGCAAGGTGAGTCGACCCCGGCCCCCTCCGCGGGGTCTCCCCAGCCGGGGCCTGCGAGCCGGCCCCGGGGCCCGCAGACCAGCCCCTGTCCTTCCTTCAGAGCTGCCGCGGCCAGAGGCCGGCGTGGGCTGTCGTTTCTGGCGCACCCACGCTGGGCGCTTGACAGAAGCAGCCCTCGTAGGCCCCCGGAGCGCATCTCCAAGTGCCGGGGCAGGAGGAGCCCGGAGGGCTGCTGGGTTTCGAGCCGTTCTCTTTAGGCCACGCTGTGAAAGTTCCCCCGTGAGCTGACCCCGCTGATGGCCGGTTTTCTCCCCTCTCCTCTCCCAGGTGCTGATCATCGGTGGCGGTGACGGGGGAGTGCTGCGAGAGGTGGTGAAACACCCGACCGTGGAGTCTGTGGTGCAGTGCGAAATCGATGAGGTGCGTTGGGATCCCAGCTGCGTGGAGGTGCCCCGGGGCTTCGGCCAGACGGGCAGGCTGCCCAGCAAAAAGCAGCCCTACTTCACAGCATCCACAGGAGCTGCTGCTTCACCTGCTGTCCCTTGTCAGCAGCGAGTGCATTTGCTGCCGGTTCTGCTGGCGTGACACTGACAGCGCCACCTCTTTGCCTTACGAGTCATCTACGTGGCAGCTGGCTGCCTCTTGCATGTGATTTGTTTCACACACGTATGGCAGAGGCCCTTCCAGGCCAGCGTGGGCCAAGCGTGGGATCTGGAGAAGGAGAGCTCTGGCTTTGTGAAGGTGCTGCTTTTCCCTCTCCCCTGATGCAGAACAGAGTGCTCCCCCTGCCAGAGGAGGATGGTCGCTTTGTTAAGCAGCCTCCTGCGACTGAAAGCAGGAAATAAGCGGGGGGTATTTGTTTCTGTGATAGATGGGTTGGTCCTCCTCCTCTCAGTCGGTTTGTTCTGATATTTTACTTTTTTAGAAAGTTTTGCTGTCTCCTCAAAGCAGGGCTGTATGAGGAATGGGAAATGCTGCCATACGAGACTGTGTACGCTATCTGCCAAGCTAAGTAGGCATATGCGCCTGGTTTTGAACAAGCACTGCCTGACACCAGCATATTTTTTTGTTTCTGCCAGCTGTGAGAAGGTGGTAGTGTTCAGTACAGTTGCTGGGCCTGGGGCAGCGGCTGTCTAACCATTGTAGCTGGTTTAGAGAGAAAACTATCTTATAAGGGGATTGCTATAATGACTATAGAGCAGAGGTGGGAATATTTCTCATCTTGCATTCAGAAACCTGCTGGCATGGTTTTATTTAGGAAGAAAAAAAAAAGTCTCTAGTTGAGATCACCTCTGCAAGTGATGTCCACAGGGAAAAGGAGCAGAGAGCAGTCAGATCTGTAATCGTATCCTCTTAGCTCCTCAGGGAGCTTTTGAAGCTCCAAGTCCTTCTTGTTGAGTTTGGCAAGGACAGACCAACAGTGTCACTGAACCTTGAGGCCATAGGAAAGGGCTGAGTGTAGCTTGTTGGCTGAAGACGCTGACAGCTCTGGAATATCTAGCTAGCTAGCGAGTTGGATTTGTGCTGAAGGCATGGAAGGAAATGACTCATTGTGCTGTTCTTTCAGCTGCAGCTGCACAGTAGCCTGAGAAGTAGCTCCTTGTAGTGCCCACTGACCCACTTGTGCTCTCTGTGTTGCAGGATGTGATCCAGGTATCTAAGAAATACCTCCCAGGGATGGCAGTGGGGTATTCCAGTGCTAAGCTGACCTTGCATGTGGGAGATGGTTTTGAGTTCATGAAACAAAATCAAGAAGCCTTTGATGTGATTATCACAGACTCGTCTGACCCCATGGGTAAGAATTCTGGCCATAAAAGGGTACTGCTTCCCACACTCCTCCTCTGCCTACCTCCTGGAAGTAATGCCAGCCTGCCCAGGCTCCTTTCAAGTGAAAAGACTGTCACTGACTTGGTTCTTTTGGTAGAGAAAGGGAAGGATGAAGACCAGAAAATTGTATTAGCAAGGCTTCAAGCCAGCTGTCACGTTTTTGTCCTCAAAATTCAACTCCAGCAGCTATTGCTTCTGGTAGAGAGTTGATCCTTGAGTCCAATAATCCCATGGGGGATAGAGCACTATGCTGGCAAAGACAGCTTTGCACATGTGCCCAGTAATGAAGCAGTGGCTCACACGCTGTTGGTGTAGCTGCCTAGCCTAAAGATGGCTGTAGTGAGGTTGCTGTATTTCTGAAGGGGAAAGCTGAGGTAGAGAGGGACCAAGTATAGCTATGGTGCCTCATTTTAGGGACCTAATGACGAGTGCCTGAGTCACTTTCACTCTTGCTATAGTCAACACAGAGAGAGGTGTCTCTAAAAGGCAGTCCGGAGCGGGAGTTGAGTTTAAAAAATGCTCGCTGAAGCAAGAGGCAGCTGCTAGGACTTTCTTTGATAAAGGTCCTGGGCTTGCTATTGAGCAAAGCTAAAATCCTGATGGTTCTGCTGCACTAGGTGCAGGCTGGGGTTCACCCAAGGTCAAAACTTTTTGCTTCCAGATTCTCTCCAACACTTATGATCACTGAGAAGCCATTTGAAACGTCTCTTCTCCAGAGCAGTCCCTGTGCAGTCTGGGTGTTCAGAAAACTCTTAGAAGCTTACCATCTAAGTCTCTCTAGACATCTCTCTTTACTCGCTCTTCTCCTAGGTCCTGCAGAAAGCTTATTCAAAGAATCCTACTACCAGCTGATGAAGACAGCACTGCGAGAAGATGGGATTCTTTGCTGCCAAGGTGAGGATGCTGTCTCTGGGCAGAGACGGATGCCAGATCATTGCATGGAAAGTGTGAGGCACAAAGGGGACTCTCTTCTTGGGGAGACATGACGCAGGGAGTGAAATCCATTTCAGCTCCCAGGTACAGGAGTGTTTTTGATCTGTATACGTCAACTCGTTAACTGCTGGACTGCGCTTGGCAAAACTGGCGGAAGGGTCTTATCTTGCCTTTGAAACCGCATGAGCTGTGCAGAGTAGAGCAGGTTTGGACTTGGAACCACTGTTAACCTGGCACAGGCCTTTGCAGAGAAGAGGGCAGCTCTCACCTTGCATCCTGTCTTCCTTTCTCCCTGTAGGTGAGTGCCAGTGGCTGCACCTGGATCTCATTAAGGAGATGCGTCAGTTCTGCAAGTCTCTGTTCCCTGTTGTGGAATATGCCTATTGCACCATCCCCACGTATCCCAGCGGGCAGATTGGCTTCATGCTCTGCAGCAAGAACCCGGTGAGTTTCAGGCACCTGAAGTGCCCTTTTCCACTCCGTGAAAGGACCTGCAGAGCCTGCCTCAGGCTCTCCCTTACAGAGCTTGAGCTGTTGCACTGAGCTCTCTCTCCCAGCTGTGGGGCCTCTAGGCTCACGCTGGGCCCTGGCTCTGCCAGCCCAGGGCCCCAGAGCTGCAATGTAGCTTGCTCAGTGCTGAATGAAGTGCAGAACTGACCAGTAATGCAACCAATTGCCTTAGAAAAGGACAAGGTTTTCTCTCTAGTACATCAAACTTGGGAGGGAGGAGGAAGCCACTATCAATTTCCAGAGCCTGTTAAGGCTTTGGCTTAGTGATGCTGGCTGTTATAAAGCAGGCACCTGCTTGATAAGAATCAGCTTGTGACTGGTAATCTGCTCATACAGAAGCCTGCAAGTGAGAGTCAGTGTTAGGATGTGGGCTGGCTCTGTGTCAGACCACTGAGGTCTGCTCTCTTCCCAATCTGCTGCCTTACAGCAAGCCTGTAATGCAACTGTCGCATTGGTTCAGGGAGCCAGTGGCACTTCTGCTGCTGTATTTTATTTATCTGGGGCACTGGCAGCATGCACTGTGCCTGGCTTAACACAGATGTGGATTCTCCTCTCGAGAGCAAAAGCGTTGCTTCTTAGATGCTCAGGCACAATCTGACAGCTTCATCTGGCACATGGCTCACGTGCAGTCTGACCTCATACGCTGACATCTGTGAATAAGGGCTAGTCACACGAAGTACGGAGCGTAAACTCTAGCCCTTGGGGCTGGAGCTGTGCAGAACCTTTGACCTCATACTAGAACAGAAAGTCATCTGTTTTCCTGCGAGTCCTCTTGGTTCTCTGCCATGAATCAGGATGCCTGTCACACAGCCTTTTGCTCGTTACCCAAACGCTACAGAGCTACCTGGCTTCTTTATTGCAGAACACAAATTTCCGGGAGCCTGTGCAGCAGCTCTCACAGCAACAAGTAGAGGAGAGGAGTCTGAAATACTACAACTCTGACATTCATCGGGCAGCTTTCATTCTGCCAGAGTTTGCACGGAAGGTAAGCGAGGCTGCGCTGCTATTCCTCCATCAAGGACAAGGTATGACTTTGCTTCAGCAGAAGTGGGAGTATACAGGACTGAGGATTTCCTGCAGCCCTAAAGGCTTCTGTGAGCAAGTCGGAGCAGGATGGCATTTTGTATGACATAGCAGAGTATGAGTCAGTCTGGGAAGAGTAGAGTTTGGTTTGGAACTGTTCTTTGTGTTGCTGTCCCATGCCTTCATGGCAGATCACTCCTACTTCACCTACCAAAACTAAGTCCAAGAGCTTGCAGAGTTTGGTGTTTCCCGTTCTGTGCTCCCAAAGTCTTAGATAAAATGTGGTGGTGGTTTCCAGTGCAAACCAGATGGTAAAGAAAGGATGCTCTAGCGTAGTCTGCCTTCTTGAAGGATAGTCTGTATTCCTGCATCATTCCGTCATCTCCTAACTGGGTTGCAGTTGCAGGTTCCAGAAAAAAACTCCTCAGAGCGTCCTAGGGACGAAGGCGAATGCCATGGTTGCGTTTCAGAGCCACGTTTCTGTTGAGGACTGGTAGAGCTGCAGCAGGTCCATCCTGACACTTTTTTGTCTTTGGCTGTCTCCAGGCCCTGAGCGATGTGTGAGCCTGAGAAGCTGCTTCCTTCCTTCAAGTTGGACCCTGAGATCGTCAGTGATGTGGTGGGGACCTTCCCAGCAGACTGCAGATTTGCTCTCCACTGTGTGGGATTGTTTAACCCTTTGCCAGCCAACATTCCTTTTGATGATGTGTTAAAAGATGATGGGGCATAAGCCAGATAAGACTATTGAAAAGGTCCAGTGACTTATTGCATGAGGTCAAAACTGTTCTTTCCAGTGCTGGAAACGTAAGATGTCTTTTTCCTTTCTCTCCTCCCTGCACCCATTCTAAATTCTCCCCTCCCTGCGCCCCCCTCCCACCTCCACCCCCTGCAACTGACATGATATATTTATAACTGACATGTATTTCTGTCTGGTGATCTTCTGAAACCTGGGAAGAATCCAGAAGAGTCACTGACTCAGCCTTAAGCACAGAGAGCGAGAGCTTTGTGCGCAAAGTTAGCTTGCTCTCTCCTAATAGGAGCTCCCTGCTGCTGAGACGTTTTGACTGGTAACGGGTCTGAGCCTTCATGTCCCACTGCCCTTCTGTGACACCTGTACTGTTCTGCAGCACAGTTGGAGAAGTCACAGTGCAAACTGTTGCCATTCACAATAGGTCTCCCTCCAACCCTGATGGAGTAGCAGTATTAAACACCAGCCAGGCAGGCGTTTATCAATATGGTGATAGGTGCTTTATATATATAAATATAAATATATATATATAAAAAACAAACCTTAGATCCATTGCCTGCTGTTAAGTACTGATGTTGGGGAGTCAGTTGTGCTGACAAATCTCTCATCTCAGTCATGCTGGGATGCCTCAGGCCTGGGTATTTGCTAGTCCTTAGGAGGCATCATTACTTCTAATGCTGCCCCCAGAATCCCCAGATGCGTAAGTTGTTTTTCGTTGTACTCTGTTGTGAGATGGATCTGCCTCCACTTCTTTACTTTTGTTTTAAAGACTCCGTACCACCGCTGTGCAGTGGGTATCTTCCCAGCACAACCACTGTGCGGCTGTCACTCCTTTGCAATGAATTAAACACTCGGCTCTGGTTAAGGTGACATCAGTGTGGGTCGGTGTGCTTCTTTGGGGAAAGTGGGGGTGGAAACAGAGATCCTGAAAGTTTGCTGTGCTTGTCAGAAAACATCCAGGGGTGCTCTGTAGTTGGTCTGACTTCCTCTCTCCCTTGTCTCTAGGGATGACAAGTTACCATCAAAAATAAGCTCTGAAGAGTGACCCCATTGCGTGTTTTGTATTGTAACCTGACTGCATAATAGCTCCAGCTTCTGTCATCCTCTATGCTGCAGAAGTACCTTCTATCCAAGCTATTCTCTTGTCCAAATGCTGCCTCTAGTACAGCTTTCTAAGCTGTTTTCTAGCTGTCCATCTCCCTGCTAGCATCACGTAATTCCTGTCAATCACTGGCCCCACTCAGTTGTACCATCCTTCCCTCTGCAAAAATTGCAGTGGCTTAGTGGCTCCGAGGGCCTGAACTCAAGCTGAACAGGCTGGGAACAGTCGCTAGGTGGCATCTGGAGAAGACAAAAAAGCTCCTTCTGAGGAAGGCTTTTTGGCTTGATAAGAGAAAACTAGAAGGAGCAGACTGTTGCAAAGGCTGGGGTTGGGCTTTACCATAATTGTGACCCTACAAACAGCATCGGTGGTGCAGCCACTGTGTGCCTACAGCAAGGGACTTCTGTGGTGTCAGTACCAACCCTCCTACTTTCTCCCCTTTCTGATGAGACTTACTACTTCTTTCCCCATGCCCCCTTCTACTACCAGTATCAGTACAGTTTCTTTGTGGTCACAAGGGTTTGCAAAGCATTGCTAAGCTGCAGAGCTGAGTCTAGATCTCCTTTGTATTCTTGTGTTGAGAAGATTACACCCATGTTGTTTCTTTAACTGTCTGAGTAGCTGTCTCCTTTCTCCCACAGCTACTGATTAGTTAGGGCTATTGAGGCATTTTCATTGCTCAACTCTTGTACTTTTCCTATAAAGAGCAGGCCAGTAATGGAGGCTGGTTCCAGCTACTCCTGTTTAAATTGCTGAGCGACCTCAACCCCATTCAGCCCTCTGGCACTTTTGCTCCCCTGGAATGGGAATCAAGACCAGGACTGTAGTCCAGGAAGGCCTTAGAGCAGCTGCCAACTAGTAACAAGTTCAAGCCTTCCACCCACCCTTGGTGAGTACAACAATGCCCAGGAG